CTGTGCAAGAACTTTTAAAAAAGCTAGGGTCAGGTGCACGATAGCCAACAGCAAAATATTCGCGAAAACATTCAATATTTTCATTCGAGGCCGCTATCGTTATCAGTGATACCACTATAACCACAATGCAAAGCGCTACGAAAACGTAATAAGGGGAATCATCTACTAACTATTTCTATCACGTCTTACAAAGTTTTTTTGTTACAGGCGAACCTGTCGTCGTTAATGTTTCCTATAGTGTCTTAGGGTTCAGAGATATTCAGGAGGTTGATATGGTGAGCAAAATAATACAACCAATATATTTTTACAAGCTTTTGGAAAGGAATCGTGGACATTTTGTCAATGATTATAAAAAGCCACGAAAAATAAATTTTGACAAATGTTATCATTGTATTAATGATAACAGCAATTGTTATTTATATTTGCACTTAATATAATATAATTTATTTAAGAGAAGAATGTTTCCCAGGCTCCCAGCTAAAAGGGACCTCGAAATAAAAATAAAGTGAGATTATCCATAGATATTACTATATGTACCATATCGCTCCAAGACTGCAGGTATTTTCCATTCCTGAGACCCTATAGATGCCAAAATTTTGGAAATGGGGGAGAATGTCCGCTGAAGGGATTGAAAATGTTATTTGACTACAAGACGTGATCCAACTAATTGCGCTGAAAGCCAAGATTAAATGCCTTTTATTATATGGTATATGACTGTAATTACACCTACATCCTTATTAATTAATGCATGCAGGAGCATTTAAAAATATAGACGCAAAGAAATGTCCAGCCAAAAAATGCACGATGGCAGAAAAAAATCCTGTACACTGAACCTGCATGGAGCTTATTGTCCGCCCCTAAAATATGTTCTTTCCATATTTTTCAAGACGTACATGACCGATATGTACTTCCGCCAAGAATGGCAAGATAGTCGTCTTCAACATTCTCTCAACTGCACATTGACGTTTATTACTGGGACGAAAAAACCAGTAGATTTCATTTGGGTACCAGATGCAACTTTTGAAAACTCTGTGACGTCATATGTACATGATGTATTGATTGGTAATCATAAAGTTGATATTTACCCCGATGGTCGAGTCTTCTGGGGTGTAAGGTATGATAGATGATAATTGCAAAATAATCACATGTATGATTGGATTTTGTAGTTGTAAGTGCCATATCCCGTGGTCGAATTCAACACAGCTGAAAATTCCGTCGTTTACATTTAATGGTCTGTTTATATATGATCCCGGCTAGGCGGGATGGGACATGCAGTTCACCGAGATCCCAATCGTAAATCATGTAAACTTTATTTGAGGGGAGACCAAAAATTCCTATTTAAACACTCTATTCCGGCTAGGTAGGATGAAATTGCAAAAAACTAGGACGTCAAGTGGATGTCATCATCGCATGCAGAAATGCTTTGTCCATAGTCATCGCAGAAATGTTTTTCTCCATATAAAGTGATTATGAACACACCATCTCGCCCGGGCGAGTTTTTCGGCTAGACAGGATCAAATTGTCCCGACCCGCCTATAGCTAGGTTGCATGGTATAGTACAAACAGGATGAGGTCGCAGAATTGCGAGGTCGCGGATACATTAATTGTTTATACTCACTATCGTGCATGCAATATCTATGTTTGTCAAGACCATTCGACGGCTTGTAATCTATTCAGTCAGGATGTGTTCAGGATTTGTTATTACAAAATCATGCAAGGGTGTAACAGAAGTACAGTACACATGTATCAACAAAAACATCGACTCACACATATTTCTTACAGAGCTACAGCCAGAGCGCTTTGTCCTATGGAACTCTCATCCTATCCATTTGATGTGCAAGTTTGTCCTTTAACCCTCGTGAGTTGTAAGTAATGCACAATGAATTCAGGGATATGTAGTGGAAGGGGTGTGTCAGGGGTCCGTGTTCATATTTCCATTCAGTGTATGTGGGAGAGGGGAGGGGAGGTGCTCTGCCACCCCCTTAAAATTATATCAAGACTGAAATAATCTTTGATAAGACAATAGGTTTTTTGCCAATTTAATACGATCTCGCATTATTGCACCCTTAAAAAAACATCAGTTATTCCATTTTATTTCTTCTAAATTTTTTAAAGTCATACCAGCCTAAGATGGTATTGTGATTGAACCCCGTAGTGATTTGCTTGTCTTACTATGATGAAACTATACATTTATAACCACTTAAAATATATACAAGAAATCGTGTTTCAGAAATTCAAGAATAAAGACTTTCCGGCACCCCGACCGGCGTGCATTCTCCCTTAAAGAGCAGCTCTTGTTAACATTTTAGGCTACACCACCACTGTGTGAATTATACGGAATAAACATGTTACATGTGTTTTCTTGTATACGGAGTATAATTACATCGACTATTATATAATGTAATTTTCTTTACTGTACTTTATATTAAAGTGATACCGCTGCATGTTCTCTATATATACCATCTGCGGTTAGATCATAGACATTCAAATTCCTTAGATTTAGAAGAAAGATATAAAAACCGAGAGTTTAGTAGTTCAATTCTTGTTTCTGGTATTGTGTGCACACAGGTGAAGATATATGTATGTGATGTTGCTTTGAGTGTACCCGCATGTACCGGGCAAGATGAAAAGTTTGCTTGACCACAGTAGGAATCGAACCCACGACCTTTGGTACCACACTGGGCAAATTAAAACCAAAGGTCGCGGGTTCGATTTTATGAAGATCATAAAAACATACTGATAGGAACTAGACTTGAGTTCCGAAATATCACATTCGAACCGACTTGACCTCGTAGCTCAGTTGGGACAGCATTGGACTAGCAAAAAAAGGTTGCGGGTTCAATTCCCACCGCGGTCAAGCAAACTTTTCAGCTTGCCCGGTGTCGACACACTCAGAGACAACATCACAAACATAAGTTTTAGTACCGCTTTTGAGATATCCCGTATTCCAAAATAAAATATTTTCACACTCTTAGTTTTGCAAATTGCAATGTTTTCATTTCATTCAAATGTAGACAACTATCCAGCCAATCATGTGAAATACGCGTGGAAAGGAAGTTCGGCCGTTACGGTTTCTGATAAAAAATTATCGCAGTTTTTGGTAACTCGTGTTGAAACCAGTGAGACAGAGGCAGTGTACCCTATAGGTAATAATTACATTTAATCATGGCCGTGATTTAATTAACAAATAATTAAATCGAAGTTGTTGATTAATGAGCGTGTAGCTCAAAGCTGGATCCAAATTAAATTGGACCATTACAACTTAGTTAAAGGGAAATAGCAATAAAAATTAAATTTCTCCCATTTGGTAGAGGGATTCAATATATTTCGAAACATTGTTGCAGATTTTCTGTATCGTTCTTGGTATAAAAAATATTATACTTTATTTCAAACAAAAACATCATGCATTCCGCCATCTTGGATATGGATATGCTTGACGTCACAACCAGGGTAACATTATTTATATTGAGCAATTCTCAGCCCATTTCAATGCTAAATCCTATTTTTTACTATTGCTTATTTAAAAACAAAATTAAAGCACAAGCTATATGTATAAACTTTCCACTGAAAATATTTTTAATTTTTAAAATGTCTACCCTGGTTGTGATGTAATTTAATTAGATCTAATTATAGAACAAGATGGCTGATGGTAGAATCTTTTGGTTTCGAATATCTCAAAAAACTAAAAAACTAAGATAGTTTCGGAGAATTTGTAATAATTTTTGTTGCCATTTTCCTGCAATGAAAATTGCGATTCTGCCTGAAACCCTGTTATCAGTCCAATATACGATGATTTATATCATTTACTGAAAATTGATGAAATTCATGGTACTTCCAACAACATTAAAACAATTGTTATTTTCTAAATTGAGAAAAGGAAAATTAATAATTTAAAAACAACTTTTGTTGTAAAATGTTTTTCGAAACGTATCTGTGAAAGTACGAAATGGAGTCACATGACACATGTACGCTATATTTATGGCTTCGTTATCAATCAAATACATACACATTTTAGTAAAAAACTTGACAAGTGGAAACAAATCGTAGTAGAATGTCTATGACGTAGGCTATGCAGTACGCGAATTCATCCGGTTCCAGTTGCTAGTACTCATCCGAGCTATGCTCGATTTTTCCGGTTTCAAGCATCCCGTGTCAACTCGAAAAGTCAAATCAGACGGCTGCGAATTCATTTGGCTTTGTGTGAACTGATTATAATTATAGACAGATTATAATTATCCATAATACATGAAGAATTTTAATGCTTCTACGTTTGTATGTAATGTATTTTGTATGTAATGTCAAGCGTTATTGTTTTGTTAGAAAAATACTCTATCCTCCACACATATTTCACATTCCAAAGACGGCTGGGATATTTCGTGATGCAAGTTTACACACCATGCGTATTTTTAGTGATGTTGGCAGGATTTTTGTTCTGGGTGGATCCCAGAGCCACACCTGCCAGAGTCGCCCTAAGTTTAACTACACTTCTGACCACCGGGACAATATGGTCGTCAGTTAATTCAAGAATGCCCAAAGTTAGTTATGTAAAAGCTATTGATATTTACTTCCTGGTTTCCTTTGGTTTCGTGTTTTCTACCCTGTTGCAGTATATACTACTTCTGACATTGAAGCATCAGACACACTTGAGGAAATTACGGAAGGTTTCGCCTGAATATCCCCTTTCCGGAAAGGTGAGTGCAACAATTATTAACTAATTCTCACATTAGCAGAAAATTTCAATACATCTCATCGGCAAAGGATTCTTGCCGCTGAATTATGCATATTTCAATTCGCCCTGTTACCATCACGTCGGGAAATGTACACCGAGATCAGAAGAGGACGAGAGTTGGCAGTCACGTGATCCTGGTTGGCTGTTCTTCATGGTTTTCCAAAACTCTCGTATTCAGTTAAAACCTAGTTGGAACACTCGTCAAACCTTTATTTTGTTAATCTATAGCCTCTGTATCTCATCCTCGTTTGATCAGAAAATATTTGATAAAATTAATTAGAAAATTAATTGTTTATTATTTAGAAAATGGGTCAAGGTAACGGTGGTATGAATTCAAGCTCCAGTGCGAAAACTGATCAAGCATTGCAAGCTAAACAACGTATGATGCAACGTTACCGTTCTATTCTAATTGAGCAAAGTGAGCAGAATGAGAGTAAAGAGGAATCAACTGCAACAGAAGTAACACTGGATCCAGAAACGCTATACTATTACAAGCAGAAGCAAGAATTTAGGAGCATTTTATGGCTTGATAAATTTAGTCGAGTTTTCTATATGTTCAGCTACGTTCTATTCCTCGTGTTGTATTGGAAAATGTATAAACTTGATGAGTAGCAAGGGAGCCGTCTTTCAAAGTGCCATGTTTATATTTATAGTAGGACAAAATCAAAGGTTGAGACATTTACGGCATAAGAAACAATTGGGTCGAAAATTATCAAGTTTGGGCCAGTCGATAAAAGAGCTATATAATGCTGTTATGTACTATTTAAAACATGAGCAGCAGTGTTTTATCAGATATAAAGATACGAGGCGAAGCCGAGTATCTTTAGGACTGATAAAACGTGCACTGCAAAATGTTTTAAATTGCTTGAATAGTGCTAGTATAAATTTATTGTCTCATTGACGAAGTAATTTTCAAAAAATACGTTGTGTAAGTCGAGAAAATCAAAGATAAAGTTTATGTAAATCAAGGGAAATCTCTATCACATACAAAGATACGACACGCTTATGATTTTTCTTTGTGTTTTCATCATGAATTATTAATGAGATTTTGAATACTAATTAAATTAAATTCCCCTGTTTAAATTCCCCTGATTATTTTATTGCCTCGAATAGTCGCTCAAAAATGTACCTTCAATTGATGCAAGAAAAAGATCCGCATTGCGTATTCATTTTTTCACTCAAATCAGCAAAATATTGTTAAAAATTGCGCACAACGACGGTCGAAAAATCCGCAATGCAAATTAATTTTTTCACTCATGAAATTTAAGAGCCAAGAACATCGCTCTGATACGAGATCATCCATGGCAGTACAAAATTGTACTGCGCGATAATAGCTGACCATCTTGGAATAGAAAGAAATTAAGGACCTGAGTTATTGCGACCACGGTATATATAATGGAGATAATTCATAAGGGCTAATCAGGCATATATTAGTGCCAGAGGGCCCGATACATAAAGTATGACCACGGTGAAATGCAGGGCCTTTTTTAACATACAAGCTGGGGGGGGGGGGCAAATGCCCCCAGTGCCCCCTCCCCCACGAAATCACATTTTGCTCCCCACCCCAGGAAAGTCCCTTTTCCTTAAAATTATAGAAACACACCAGCGAAGATTAACAAATACATAAATAGAAAGTAAGTTTTAGGCTTTATCCTTTGTCCTTGTTTAACAAAATTGATTTAAATTGTTACTTTTTTCTACTACTAAGTAATGATAAATTATTTTTAATAATTTTTTTATTTTTTGAATGCTCAGAATGCAGGAAATAGCTTTTCCGGGTTTCAAATTTCAAAAATTTTCCGGGGATTATCCCTCTAATAAGTAATGATAAATGATGGTTAATTTTTTTTACTTTTGTGCGTTTTTTCCTTTATTTATTTCAAATACAAGTATAGTTACCATAAATTTTGGAGCAAATTTGGATGCTCAGAATGCAGGAAATGACATTTCCGGGATTCAAATTTCAAAAATTTTCTGGGGAGTACTCCCCCAGACCACCACCCCATTCATGCGTGGTATATTGGCGACACACGTAGCCTTCAGCCATTGCTGTCCCCCTCTAATATATTATCTCACAGAAAAGTCCCTTTTCAAAAAATGCCCCCCACAGGAAAATCCTTAAAAAAGGCCCTGTTTTCGGCCATCATTAAATTAACACGATAATGATTTCTGTAATCTTTACTTAATCGCGTTGTTCATGGCACTAACATGAAGTAGTTTCACACTGTGGCTATTATTAGCCTCTGGTACAAAACATTGAATATTGCTTCTGCTTTACGTGTAATTAATAAACACAAAATTATTAAATCAAGCGAGACATGCATAAAATATGAAAGGTAAGTCAGTTTCACCTTCGAAATAACTACTATACACATGGCACATATCGTGTTTCCTTTAATTGCGAATATTTACTGAATAAATCGAGTATGTTAAATTCTTAAAATGCGATTTTAATTATAGTCTTAATGCAGGCATATATATTCGTATGTAGAATATGTTAAATTAAATTATTAATCAATAAACTTTAACGGTTATTCTTTACATTTCAATTGTGTATAACACTATAATTCTAACTTTTTTGCAGTTTTAATTTCATATTTCTTTACTTTCTTGTTTTAATTTCACAGTTTTAGAAAAAAAATCAAATTTCATTATTACAATTGAGATTAAACCCAAGAAAATAGCCTACAGTAAATTGTATGTTGTTGTGATTATTTAACGCAAATGCACACAAAAATCCAAACAATTCTGGTTATAACTATTATTTTGTTGCTCTACCCTACTAGACTGCTTGACAGACAAGACTTTTCAATCAGAATGCATCATATGTCGCAAATGCATATTAAATAATAGCGATGGAAAATGGAACTGAAGATCAACCACCAGCCAAAAGAATAATAGTTCAGAAAAAACTGACAAGTGTTTTCTCAACTGAAGCATTTAGACACTCGGAATCAGAAGATAAACAATCAAATGAATGAAGTCAGCCAGCGTTCATGACATATCTTGATAGTGATGAGGATGCTGAAAATGAAGGTACGGTTGGAAAGAATGTTGAGCCAAAGAAGAGCAACGCTACTGGGACTACACCAGCTGACCAATCTTGCAAAAGTGAATCCCATACAGTAAAATCTTTGGGGACATACCCTACTTGCTGGTCAGTAGATCAATACAACTATTTGATAACAACATATTCATGGCTTATTTTTGAAAATGGAAGTATTGGGTGCAGTATTTGTAGAAAAATAAAGTCACTAGGTGTAGGAACTTTCACGACGAAAAGTAGTCACATTAGTACTGAGTGGAGTGCGTGTTCTGTACGTAGAGATGGCAAGAAGGCAGTAGCGCAGAAAGCACTGCGAAAAAAGATTCAAAAACACGCAAAGTCCCAAGCACATATTGCTGCAAGTGGCATTCTAGATGAAAAAGAAGAAGAAAAGGTCGAGACAGCATTACTCAAAAGTGTTGCGCACTCAAGAGAGCTAACAGAGAGATGCCTTCGGACAGCATATTTTATTGGGTACCAAAACCGTCCATTCACCGACTACCCAGACATTCTCGCTCTTCAAAGCAGAAATGGAATAGAGTTAGGGTCAATTTTACATTCTAGTTACACTTTAACGGAAATGATTGAATGTATCGCCACCAATATGAGAAAAAAACACTGTAGTGCGATTAGAGACAATGAAAGAAAAATTGCTATTATTATTGACGAATCAACATTTGTGTCATGCCTAATTATTTACACCCGTGCAGTAATAGTTGAAACTCCAGAAAACGTTTTCCTCGACATGCGCGAATTAGAGGGCCAAGATGCAGAATCCGTATTCAAATGTCTTCTCACAATGCTGGCAGAGTTTGGATTTGATGAGGATTATACATTTGGAGTTTGGATTTGGATTTGGATTATACATTTGGAGTTCAGAGTTTGGATTTGATGAGGATTACACAGCGGCGTGGGCCAAAGACTGAAAGAAAAATTTCCTGCGCTTCTCCTGTGGCACTGTTTGAATCACCGCCTAGAGCTGGCTATCTCTGATGCAGTATCGTCAATTGATGGCTTCTATACTATACAAACTTTTTTTGACAAAATCTATTCTGTATATTCTTACTGGTCTAAGTTACAACGCGAACTTAGTGAAATATCAATGGATCTTGATCTGCAGCTAAAAAAAATTGGTAAAATTTTCACTGTTTGATGGATTGCATCATCCATTAGAGCGATCAAATCTTTATGGAATGATTACCCGGCTCTTTATTCGTATTTTAAGAAACTTTCAGAGGACAAGTCAATTAAATCTACCGTGCAACGTACCAGGGGATTGTGAAGAAGCTCTCAACAAGAGAATTTGTTGAAGATGTGGCAATTGTTAAGGACTGTTTAGCCCAACTATCCTTGCTATCAGAAGCCTTATAACGGCAACAGACAAGCTTATTTGAAGAAAATAGACATCTGCAATGGACAATAAACGCACTGTTTCGAATTAAAGAAGCAATTCAGGAAGGAAAGTACACGTTCCAATCGACAACTGGAGATAACGCTGGATTTAAAGGGGTTTCCTTGGAAACTTTCTCGTCAAGAAAAGGGTATGTGTCCTTCGATCGGAAGCAGTTTATCCAGGCATTAATCGATAATATCAATGCAAGGATGATCAACCCTAATAATGAGGCAGTGATAAACCAATTGGAAGCACTTATTCCAGATAAGTGGCCTACAGGGGAATGTCCACCTTGGTCAGAAGGAGAAAAAGCAATAACAGCTATTTGTCAAAGGTTTCATGTGCCTGAATGTGGTATCATACCAGCCTATCGTAAATATTTCAACGATCCTCGAAGGATACCCAGGATTATTAACGAGAAACTAATACAAAGCATTTTGTATATATTCCCATCAGTTCCTCCGAAGCGGCCGGAAAGAGGTTCTCGCAAATGAACCTTGTTTGTTCATCAACGCGTTCCAAACTTACCGTTATGAACATGTCATCACTTTTGTTTGTCAGTGTAAATGGTCCACCCCCGGATTTATGGAACGCACAGCTTGCCGTAGCAAATTGGCTATTGAAGCACCGATCCGCTACAGATACTAAAAGCAGGAAGGCAAAACATGTCAGCTTGTCTGTGCAGAGCATTTTCGCTTGAGTGTTCTCTGGTTTGTTGATTTTATGTACATGAGTTGCTATTAAAAAGCTTTGTTATTGTTTATAATTGTTAGGCTGTTAACAAAATGGAAAATTTAGACCAGGAATCTGAAAGTGAAAGTCCCAGCCAGACATTTTCATATTTTCTGAATCCCGCTTTTCCACTAGGCGAAATTGTTTGAAGGAAGGGATGTAAGAGCAAATTTCGGTTTGTGATTGGTTAGATTCACGGAGTCCTATTTTTTTGCGGCAATTTTTTTTCGCTAACCAATCATACCACTGAATGTATTTTTCACTTGAAGGTACACCACCGGCTTTACATCTCAAAAAGTGGTACAGAAACCTTGTATGCCATACCTTTTTCAGACATTATTTTTAATAAGAATAATTTTGAATGTTTCGCCCACAATTACTAGAAAAACAACAACAAAATTTCCAATTTCCAAAATATTATATTGTAAATACCCTTCCCCGCCAATTCAAGATACTTTTGTAGAGCCCCCCTTGTTAACATTCCAGGACTACACCACTGGTGTTGACACATGCAGTGGCGGGAATCTTGGTGGGGCTGGGGGACGTCCGCCCCCCCCCCTTCCCCCCACCTTCATGGAAAATTGACGAATTTTTGGAAATTTGACCTAAAAGAGGGCTAAAAAAGTCTTTTCGAGTGCAAATGTGGGTGTGTCGGAAATTTGAAAGCCTTGTCGAAAATTTAGGAGGCTTTGCCCCCCCATCGGAAAAGTGAATTTCCACCACTGGACACATGAGCCAGTTCCCTCAAACATTTCTTACAAGTCATACTTCATGTTACATCACTATTTTCGTGCTTTTATGCGAAAATTTTGATATAATATTGGCCATTATATACCTTTTGAAACGATTTTTATCAAAGAAAGAAGACTTGTCCCTTTAAATAATGCCTGTGAGTTAGCAAATATGAATGTTTATAATGCAAGGATAAGTATATATTCCGTGTTTGTATAATTACGTAGGTGATTATTGAAATTCTCCACGCTAATTGGTCACCGTTGAGGTAATTATAACGCGATAATCACCTAAGCAATTTTCGATTTTTTCCGTTTTGTCAACGAAGAAATGTGTCTTTTAATATTTTTCCAAATAATCACCTAGTGAAATTATACTAAAACAATTATTCACTTTAGGCTCGGTGATTATCGTGAATAAAAACCTCGACTTCGTCTTCGTTTTTATTCACCGATAATCACCTCGCCTTAAGCGAATAATTTTTAACTATCTTTAATTTTTTTCAATTGAAATTGTAATATATTGTTTGATTTGGAGATCTAAGGTTTTGGATATTTCTTCTGAATACTCAATCTAAGCCAAATATTGATGTTGATCAGGCATTTGTATGCAGTCAAGTGCCTCTATAAATCATGTTGAAATTCTGGGCTTAATTATTGACAATATAGAAAGTGCCTTAGAATTGTAAATATTGTATTTCGCGCGGGGGGGGGGGGGAAAC